TTAAATTAGAATAAGTATCTTGTGTAAGTGTCATTAAATGACCAAAGACTATTTGTTATCAGTACGAAAAAAATGAACAAAGGATTGATCTTTGTTCTAATTTTCACAGGAATGAAATATATGATACTCATAACAGATACAGCAATTAGGTTTATTTTTGATGTTCAATAATTACTTTTCTAAATTCAAAGTCTAGTGTGCTGAATTTATATTTTCTTTTATAAATCTATGTAAAAATTTTTCTTCTGTAAACATAGATTTATACGCAACTATTAAAAAATTTCCGATTAATCGCGATTAATCCGTTTTCTTTTTAAAATCATGATATAATCTGATTTTATCGCCGATTTTTCAGCATAATTCGATTTATCGTGATTTTACGTTCATTTTTCTGAAAATCACAAAAATTGCGGCGATTTTCACGACATGGGCTACATTAAGTTAATTACATAGTCTTATATACCACTAACTTTTAATAGGATTTTTTTTACCAATACTAAAATCAGACAGCTTTCACTTTTTTTTATAACACTGTTTATCATAAATAGATAGAACTAGAATAGATCTATCGATTAGTATACAATCCAAAGTATAACTACATGTTTCAGATAATAAAAAGTTCTTTATCATCATTGTAACATATGCATTTATCATGGAAAAAAATACAGTGATAGTATAGTTTCGACATGAAAGGAAGTAAGTAAACTAAGATGTCTCATATATTATTATATCATTTGATAGAGAATTGCAACAGCTTCAATTTGATGTATGAACCGATGAATCATATAAATGAATGAGTGAAGTAATAATCTCTATAGTATAGACTACCATAGTGCTTATTTAGACATAAAACATAGAGAATAGAAGAATGAGAATATCGATTGTCACGCAATGTGACCTGCATAAAATCATCTGATTTCGATAGAAGTAGACATCTGATAGGCAAATGGACAAAAATTAAAAAGACAAAGTCGAATTTCTGCAGGAGATCGATTTGACTTGTTAACAACCCCGTTTCTTTGAACAAAAAAGTATATCCATTCCTATGCAACGTCTGAACAGGACAACTTCAATCGTTGAAACAAAAGGTCATTATTTTATTAGAATAATTATTATTTTCAACACTATAATGCCCTGAAATCCATTGTTTTTACTCTATTTTAATTGTTGAAAAAAGATCTACAATAACAATCAATTTATTATATATATGAGACAGACTCAAAATCTTCAACATATTATAGATAAAAATTTCGAATCACCAAAAGACAATATATGTATCGATATTATTCTTGTGTTTTGTTTTGTGCATATCGATATGCACATTGTATTTGTGAATTACTATTGTATACCTGTGCAAAGGATGAATGAAAGAACAAGCAAACCAAAGGTAAAATGTCTAGTCAAAACAACAAAACTGTGTTTCAATAATATTCTCATGATTATTTTGTGCATATTGAGATGCACATGTTTTTGTGCATTATAATTGTATAGTTGTGCGAAGAACGAATGTGAGAACAAACAAAACAAAATTGAAATTTCCGGCCAAAAAAAACAACAACATTCGTTTTGAGAATAATCTGAGCTGTATTTCGTGTGAACTTTGATGAAGATTTATTTGCTGCTGTACGAGTATCGTTCCGCTATCAGAAAAACGAAAAGAAGAATAAACAAAACAATGATTAAATCTCAAGAATACGATCTCTCATCAATAAATCAATGAAATCATTAGTATAAAAATAAAAAAGTAATCCTTTTAAATATTGAATGATTAGTACCAAAACAATAGTGTATTTAAGAGAACTCAGTAAAAACATTTAAACCTCTTCAGTATTAAATTCAAACTAAATCAGTGAAAATACAGATCGTATCGACAGAAACAATAACATTTATCGTATTATTATCATTTCAATACAAGAAAACATTTTGTGAAAAAAAATATAGAATATATGACAGATATCGAAAGTGCGATGAAAAGAAATTCAAAGATTGAACAAATAAAAAAAAAAAGCAAAAGAAACTTGAATAACTGTAATAACAAAACATATTGAATGTTCCTTGGTATAGCTATTTTGCTTTTCACACCGACTAACGCTATTTCTGGCGCTGTTGATGGCTTTTTGAATTTCAAATGATCACCCACAAACAACGAATTTATATGAATAATTTCTCAAATAAAACTCGACAACTGCATTTTTATTTCTTTGTCACTTTGAATTGTTCTCCATTTCCATACCTTAAACATCTAATGATTTTTATTTGAGTTTAGTAACATTTGCTGATTTCTTACGTTTAAATTGATCGAAATCGATTGATGTAATTTATTCGATTGTATATCATGAGCTAGTATATCAAATGCTGTTGAAAAACTCATAACACATACAAATGAAATGTTTCTTTGATTTAACTTATTGATTTGTCGAAGTTCATAATTGTAATGATAATTTTGATTTTATTGCTAGTATTTTTCAAATGATTGAGGAAGTATACTATTCAACTGATCAAATATCAACAATCTTTAAAGTTAATTTTAGAAATTATCATCAAAGCATGACATTTTCTAAATGTTCTATTATGTGTGATTGTTTTCTTGGTTATCTCTGAGCTGTTGTGTGTGTTTGTTGCATACTGTGTTACACATTCAAAACAACCATCAGTTAATTTAAAGCCGTGACTTTATAAAAAAAAAACAAAACCGAACTAATACCAATTGGCTGTTGATTGTTGTTCATGTGATATCTCTTCATAAATAGCATTAATATTGATTTTAATACAGCTATAGCATTCGATTATCGATAGATCTTTCGTTTTTTCGTTTATTTCTATTGTAATAAGAGCATATCACGTATTAGATGAATATCATGACACATTCAGATATTTATTTTCATGATTTAGTTTAATATACTGAGTTTCAGATATATTGATAATCCCTGTTATCGTAAGAACTAGTTGTTGAAATGATCTCCTAATTGCACATTTAATTATACCAGATCATTGATATTTTCACTGATCATTGCACTAATTTTACTGACAACAAAAAAGATATCCAAAGGTTTACAATCGAAAAAACCTATTTACGATTTGCTGATAACTTGATTATTGTCATGCACTGTTTGAAAATGCATTTTTTCGTATGCACTAGTATGGTATAGCCATACCAAGAATGAATGAGAGAACATGCAAAGCAAAGTAGTTTGCCAATAAGAAAAAGAACGTAGGTTTGGATAATAAGCTGAGCCGTATTTCTATACGTGTTGATTGACGTTTGTTTGATTGAATAGGGGTATTGTATACATTTATGAAGAACGGATCAGAGAACAAGCAAAACAAAGGTAAATTTTTCAATCAGGAAAAAGAACATAGTTTGTACAATAAGCTGAGCGGTATTTCATATTCACGTTGGTTGATGTTCGTTTGATCTCATAGGGGTAACAATGAATGACAGAACAAACAAAACAAAAGTAAAATTTCCAATCAGAAGAAAGAATGTAATTTTGTAATAAGCTAAGCCGTATTTCATATGCATCTCGATTGACGTTTGTTTGATTGCGTAGGGGTATTGCATAGTTTTATGAAGAATGGATTAGAGAGCAAGCAAAGCAAATGTAAAATGTCCAACCAAAAAAAGTACCTAGTGTTTGACCTTCAGATAACCTGTATTTTGTGTACATTATGATTAATATTAGTTTGTTCGTGTAGCGGCATTGTTTAATTTAACAAAGAACGGAAGAGAGAGTAAGCAAAGCAAAGAGAAAATTGCCAAGGATTTAAAAGAATGTAGTTTTTGCGATTAGTCTGACCTTTCTTTCGTCTATATCTTTATTGGGGGTACTTTGTTCGCGTAGGGGTATTATATAGAGATACAAAGAATGAATAAGAGAGCTAGAAGAATGGTGGTCATATTTAGAAGAAAAAACAAAGCAAGATATATGTTGAAATTATTCTCTCATTTTTCGCGATATGGTTCAATGCTCGGAGCAATACATGTCTTTCAACGTATATATAATCAGCAGTATGCTTTGACTTCAAACAGAGAACAACGTCGACACATTACAGTGTTATTGTTATTGTGAACAGACAAGATTCTCTATCGATTCAACGAACAAACGTATGTATTTGCCAAACTATACTTTCTTTAGATCTGCCTTTTTGTAATAAGTATAAAACGGATTATACTGCTCTCAAGTATTAAGATCCATCTATATTGTGTTTGAATCATATTGCAATGAGTTTAAGTGTTGAGCAACTGCACTTTAACGCAATTTAAATGCATGTAGATACATTTGAATCATACTTTGATCGATTTCAATACAAATTTATTGCACTTAAATTGATTCCAATCTGTTCAAATACAATATAAATGGATAACAATTCGTTTAAATCGGATTTAAACCCGTGAACAAAAGTCTTACTCATCCTTCCGCATCCTCCATTATTTTTCTCTTATAGACCTACATTGATGTCGAATGAGTGCTAATTACACGAATGACTTAAGTTAGAAATGAATTGGTTGATCGAATACTTCATCGTTGAGTTATTTCTTTCTTTTTGTATCTGCTAACTATTGTACTAGTTTGAGTAATTAAACACTTTTCTTCTCCAACTCGAAGCTCTTCCAAGAATGTAGTATTGTCAATTATTACAAAACAGTTAAATTAAAACTATATAGTAAAACATTCATAAAATGATTAAAAAAAGAGATAACCCAGTCATAAAGTATTCAATTAATCAACTCATTTGTAGTATTGACCGATTCTATTGCATAACGTTTGTTCTTAATTGAAGTAGCTTGTAATCAATCATAAACTACACCACAATATTATTTAAATCATGCTTGTAAACAACATTCATTTGACTTCAATGTAGTTATATATGAAAAAAATGATGGAGGATTATAGGGTTGGCGAAGACTTTTATCCACGGCTATATATACATCAAATATATTTGTTTTTTTTAGCATTTGAAGTATATAAGCATTTATTGTCATTTGCATTGACGTTTAAATGTGTCGGTTAGGATCACTTATTTTTTTGGTGTTTCTTCACCTTTGCAATTCACAACAAGTTCCGCCATCTCCATATGGACAGTCAAGTGATATTTGTCCGCAAAAGGATAATTATCCATATAGTGTTAATGGATTTCCAGGAACGCCATATATCTTGAAACCATTTCAAACTGATTTTGTAAATCCGCCAATTCTCAATCCGTTATCTAAACAATGTCGTTCAGATCAACATTGTATATTTTCTTATATAATTAATGTTACTGATACTACAGCAAGACCTTTTGATCAAAGTGTGCCTGCATGTGCAAATAAAGCAGCAACAAAATTTTTAACTTATAACAGCCAAATACCAGGACCAACAATTCTTGTTCCTTCAGGACAGGAATCTATTGTAAGATTCAACAATAAAATAGGTAACTTATTTCCAGGAACTTTTAGTCCCTGTATTGGGAATAGAACAGGGAGACCATTCAGTGTTCATCTACATGGTTCAGCAAGTCTTCCACCATATGATGGATGGGCCGAAGATGAAACTTGCTATGGTGAAACAAAAGAATATGTCTATCCAAATAATCGTCCAACAACTGGTTGGTATCATGATCATGCAGTTCATATCACAGCTAAAAATGCTTATCTTGGTCTTGCTGGTTTTTATTTAACAACTTCAAAACGAAAATATGGTGGATGTAGTGAACCATGGAATTTGGAAGATATTGAAGAAAAACATATTATTATACAAGATAAAGTACTCGATTCTGCCTGTCAATTATTTATTGATACATTGAGCGCACATCAAATAAATCTATATGGTGATATTAATCTGATGTCTGGAAAACCATTTCCTGTAATGTCTCTTCAACCAAAATGGTATCGTTTTAGATTTCTCAATGCTGCAGTATCACGCCCATATTTGTTAAAAATAAAAAATAGTACACTTCAAGATGTTTCACAAAAAATATGCAAAATTATTGCAACTGATGGAGGATATAGAGATACACCTGTAACATTTCCTACAACAGGTTTATTAATCGGTGTTGCTGAACGATATGATGTTGTATGTGATTTTACAATGTTAAAAAGTCAAACTCTATATTTGTGGAACGAGAAAGATGATACTTTCATGAAAGATGTACCATTCTTTTGTTATAGTCATTTACTTGGAAAACTTCAAATATCTGCAACAACTAATGGTACACCAGCAACATTTCAAGAAAACATTCCAAATACAACACCAGAGGATCCAATAAAACGAGTCTTAAATAGTACACATATTGGCACAGCAATTCAAATGGCAAATAATGGTCAATATCATAGAAGAATGGTTTTTGGTAGAAGTAATGGACACTGGGTAATTAATGGTGAAACTTGGGATACGTTCAGAATTGCTGCTGCAGATATTGGACATAATACATGGGAACTTTGGTTATTTGAAACTGGTGGTGGATGGTTTCATCCTGTACATATGCATCTTGTTGATTTTTATATTATTAAACGTGACGGTGACACTGGATTACGAAGTTATGAAAATTTATCACCAAAAGATGTTATGTTTTTGGGTGAAGGAAATAAGCTTTATGTAATAGCTAGATTTGGTGCTCATAAAGGTGATTATATGTTTCATTGTCATAATCTTATTCATGAAGATGATGACATGATGAGAGCAATGCGTATTATTGATAGTCAAAATGGACTCACTGCTTCAACAGCAGAACCATTTATTATTAATGGTTTTGCAAATATTATTTATAGCAATTGGAAATATAGTGATCCAATGTTGACTGAAACTGCTGCAAAACCGACAAACAAAATGCCATTACTTAACTCAACTTATATGCAAAATATGTTGAATATTAATGTTTATAGAATTTTCTATCCCGTTCCTTCTGATGCTAATTTAAATGGTTTCACAAATCCTTGGAAATCTGCTTGGTGTGCAACATAAAACCATCCATTTATAATAAAAAAACAAAATGTCAAGATTTTAGTTCCCTTTTCTAAAAGAAAAGGTTCACGAAACGAAAATGTTTGTCTATTTGTCTTTCTGTCTATCTGTCCAATCAATCGAAAAGAAGCTTTTAGCGAGTAGATGAAAAATAGCAGATATCAATGCCGAGGTAACGTACACATACGTAATCAAGACTGATATTGGCGTCAACAGGTATCACTCTATGAAGCTAATCTGTTTCTCTTTTATTGAATTCTTTTCATTCTTTTTTGGTATCGATTGTGCTCTTGTCTTGTTGGTCATCATTAATAGATGATGATCATTTTTTTCCTGTTGTGTTGTTCGATTTTTATGTGACATATATTTACATTGAGTTTTCTTTTGTTTTTTGTAGTTTTACTTTGTTTTGTGAAAATATATTTGTGAGGTTATCATGCTTATCATTGCTATTGTGATTTTCTTCCTTGATCTTTATTTTTCTTTTAGCATATTTCATTCATGATCTCTTTCATTGATTGTTCTTTCTTGTTTGTTGTTTTTTGACAATAAAACATCCACTATATGGTTCATTTGATCATCATTATTCATTCATTATATCATCAAGATAAGGTAGACAGTGAGATTATGATCTGAGGATGTGTATATGAATTACCACAATCAATTTCGTCCTTGTTCAACAGACTCTTCAGGGGGCAAGATTTCGAGTTCAAGTCTTAAAATTAAACTAAGAACCAATTCGAAATCAAAGTTATTCAGTTGTCGAAGCAAAGATAACATTATTTTGTAGTAGTAAGTATACGCGAATGAGGATGAGTATAAGAAAATAAATAAGAGATTCTGAAGAAAAGTAACTGTAATTACTTGTGTACAAAAATACATCTTCATGTTAGAAAGTGTAACTACTCGGATGCGTCTCAATAACTATGACAGACTTATGGAAAAGATCATTGAATCGAAACAGAAGTCGAACCTGTAACTTCTGATATTCGGTCAATTGATTTGCCAGTTAAATTATTTAAAATTCTTTTCAGCGACAAAATTCACGGCATATTTAGTCATCGATCTATCTATAATTGGAGTATATCAGAACATCAGTAACTAATGATTTATTTAGTTGAACTGTTATTGCTGCATGAGAAGGGTGATTCAAAAGCAAAACAAACTGATCCATATGTATTGAAGATACAAATCTATTTGCTAATCTCAACTCTTGCTTTTCAGTAATCGATACTGAAGTATAAAGTGTGAATGAGTTTACAAATTAATTCCAAGTTACTTACCACGATTGTTTAAACCTTGCTTTTGGGTCATTATCAGATAAATTATGAATTATAATATTCTGTATAGAAATTTATCTCAAATCAATAGAAGTATAAAAAGAATAAAAAAAACTCTGAATAACATTCTAATGTTAAGATAAAGAGGGTGATGGTGAGTTTGAAATGTTTGAAATTTGAAATAGAAAGTATGAGTTCATCAATAACTATCTATAATCCTTTTACTTGTTTACATGAAAATATTCATAATTTTAAAATAAATACATCCACTTTACATGCTCTATTAAATATGAAAGATGAAATAGAAAGAATTATTTGAACAGAATGGGAATCGAACCTACACTTTCCAGTACTCAGTTGACTGCTCTATCAATGAAGCTATCCGAGCATCCTCTCCGTTACTAAAGTAACTTCACATCCGATATTTAATTCAATCATATGAATATCCCAGAACATTAGCAATTTTATTGGTCTTTCTTCATCTTTGGCTATACGAATACTATTATTTTATTTTCACTTCGTGCTCTGTAAAAAAAAACTAATGTTACAGTGAACCTTTCTGAATTTAAATACCATTTTGTGAATCGTTTGAGTTTCTACAAAAATCTGGTTCTATTTCGAACACTTTTCTCTGCTACTAAAAAGAGGTTCTATCTGAAGAAAAAACAGTGCAGTTGATATGCTTAATCGATTGTTGCTATGATCAATGGTTCGTTGAAACCATACCTAAGGACAATAGTTCAATTATTCTATGCCAGCGAGACTGAATGCTGTGATATCTGAAGACGAATATAGACGAGTCCATTTATACTTATTGTTACTGAGACTTGTCATCATTTGAATCTCAGCACATATTTCATTATTCTTCCATTAAATCTGTTGTTTCGTGTCGCTGCGGTCCTAAGTAGAAATCATAATAATTTATTTTATAAATCAAACCTTGCCATTGCATTGTTCGTTCATATGAATTTAACTAAAACAAATATATCATTTAAATTTAAACTCACCATTTTACTATTCATTCGCGTAAACCTAAAAAGAAAAAAAAACATTTATTATTTAACTTTAAACGTACCAGTTAGTTGTTCCTCGACAGAAACCTATATAAAAAAATGAAGTTATTAGACAGGGAATCCCAAAAGTCCAATCGAAAAAGAAACAAGATTATCTTTTGAACTGTTCAAAGCAATTTACTCGAAGTATTAATAGTTTCATTTCATATTCATGAAAGTTCTATTTCATATAAATTTGTCTATAACAAATATACAAAATGGTTTCTTATAAAAGCAATACTCAAAACCATTCGTTTCAACATATATGCAGAAAACACTACATAAATTCTTTTTCTGAAATCCTTTTACCGTATTACAGATTTTAATATTTGATTTCGCCTGCTTGAAGAAATGTGCTTTAAAAACTATTGAGGTCAGCATTTCAATGAGAAATAATTTCATGTTTGTAAAATACTATAGTACTCATCTTACGTAATTTTCTTAGTTCTAGAAGAAAAGAAAGTGTAAATGTATAATAAAATTCTTTTTCCTGAAAATCTTACTGCCAATCAAATTGTTCAAACAGTCGATTTTGTAACATTGGAACATATATATGTTGACCTTGAAAAACTCTCTAACAATATTCATGGCTTACTCTTTAAAAAAAGCCATATTGTAAAACAACCATAGAGAATTTTCGAAAAATGGTTTACGATCCAGCGTAAACCCGAAAGGTCAACTAGTGCAAAACCTTTGGTATCGATCTCGGAAACCGATTAAAAGTTTCTGAGATTCCGATTCTCTCCTTCTGAATCGATAAAAAAATCTGAAACAATAAATAGTTTTTTAATTCGCATACGCAACTTACGACTTCCACGATGCTCATCCAAAGTTCAGATGATAAAAAGGAAACTATTAGAATTTCTAAATCGAAATGAGACTTACGTTGTGGATGAATTCGTTGATGATATAAAACGAAAAGAAAAGGTGCTATCAGTTTCTAGATATCCAACAATTGTAGAAATATGATTCATCGATGTTTTCAGAACGGTATAAATACATATTGCTTAGATCCCATGTGAATGAGAATAATCTGAACATGTGTTTGCTCAAATTGAAGCTTTTCATTTGATTTGAGAACTTTTAGCCGTAAGGTTTGTACAAATAAACAAGTTATAAGGATAATCGGAGACTAGAAGCTGCTGATGCAGTTAGCCTCTACCAGAGTCCGAAAACGAACCGAACTCGAACCGTTTGTTGAAAAATGATGTCGAACCGAAACGAACTAGTATTGGTTGAACTATCATTGATTTCTTGAAAAATATGTCGTTAACAATGATTGATATAAGAATTAATAAGCATTGTCATGTATATAACCTAATAGTATATGAAGAAATTAGGGAAAGTATTATTACAAATTAGATTATAATTTGAACTAATGGTGAATCTAAGAAAAGAATAGACTCATATACGCTCAATGGAAAATAATAAAAGACATATAATTTTATTCATATAAGTATCTATTTTCTGTGTTCTTTTGTTTTTTCTTATTCAACTTTCCATGCTATTCTTATGCAAATAAAAAAATAAAAGAATTAATTTAAGAAAAATTAAATAAATACTGAAATACTTCTTGCAGTTCAGAATTACTGTTTATACATTGGACAAGCTATTTTACGACACAATTGTGAAATCCTCAATGCAGTGGAATTTTAGAAGCTTTTCTTCTAGACTTTAGAAGAAATCTGGGTTAGATCGAATCAAACCGAACTCGAACCAATAAAAGTCGGTTCGATTCGGGCTCTGGTCTCTACAACTTTTAAAAATTCAGCGGACTATGCGAAGTCGTAATTTTAATGCTATCTAATGCTACTAGGTAAGAATAAAAGAGAATGTTGACATTAATAATGATTATTCTTAGTTTGCAAACTATTAACATTATATTTTTCCTCATATATGCAAAGCTTAGACTACCTTAAAGATATGAAGATGAAATAGGATTATCCAAGAAATATGAAATAGTTTCAAATTTCGAGAAAAAATGATGCACAGAAAGAATGAATCGTAATTAAATATGTTATACTAACTATGTGAGTAGTTTTCAGCTAACTAAAAATCTGTAACACTGAAAGACTCAGGTCGAAGAATGTGGCCACCGGATCCCCAGGGATCCTACAGGAAATATGCGGCAAAGTTAGCCTATCCTGCAGTAAAGCACCGGAAATCACTGGAACAAGGAAGTATAAGCTCGTCTATCTGTGTATTTTCTGACTCTCCGTTCTCGATAGCAACACAACAGAAAATGATAACGCTCGATGTGTATATCTGATAGATAAAAACAAAAAAGAAACTTTGCAAAAGACAGCAAAAATGCGATGTAAAGCGATCTTGGTTTTCGGCAACGGGCGTTTAAATGAATATAAGAGCTGACGGTTTCGCTGGTTCGAGACTGGTTCATCACTTTTAACTGTGTTGAGTAAAACACGGAGGCCAAATCGTCGTTTTACAGAGCTTCCTGAAGGTGAGCAAAAACTCACTGAAGATTCCAAAATTTAGTGTCATTTCGAGGCATGGAACTTTCTGACAAAGTTCGAACGAATTTCTAGTGCCTAGCCTATCTCTAGAGCACCGCTTAAAAATTCCAGACTTTATTATAACAAAGCACACGCAAAGTACGGACACCAATTACTTAAGTTGCCGATTACATAAATGCTATGCATCGCACCGCATCACTTATGAATATTTCATGTCACTACAAGGATAATTTAATAAGAATTGAATTGCACAAAAAACAAGTATACATAATATCCAGCGCCTCTTTTTTCTTTTGCTACTAGGGTTATTTTCAGTAACTAACTATTTTAATTCATTCTATCATTTGAATTCTTCTTCTGTTTATCAGTTGTATTCTTATTCTACGTTACTGTTAATATTAAGTTCACTTCTCCATCGGATTTATCAATTTCGAATGTCTTTAAAAAATTTTATTATATTATCTATTATATTACTCATAAGTTGTTTTACGACAATAAGTGAAGCGAACAATAAAAAATTATTACATGTAAGCAAATCAAGAAACAATAAAAAGGGTAACTAAATGCCAACATATTCATTAAACTTGCGATCTCTGTATTTGATTTATTTAAACAATTTCTAAGCAAAGATACATATTTTTCACTTCCAAAAGACTCAAAAAATCTAAAGAAAAACAAAGCATGAAGAAGCAGCATCACATTATCATGTCATTTCGTTAGAACAAACAATATTTTTCAGATACTGAATATATATTCAACAACAAACCACGAAAAAAGAGAACTGAATCGGATTCTGATACCGATCCGACTGGACTCAATCAAATTGATACTACGACTCAGTTAGGTATTATTAACTCAAAATATAACATGCATAATTATTCTATGCTCTATTTATGAAAGTGATGTCAGATACGGAAGCACATTCCAGTGCTAAGGAAGAATCTGCTACGATTAAACCTTTAGACACGACTCACGACGATGATGTTGCCAGCAACAAATCAAAACCAGTGTCTCATAGATCCGGAAAGAAAAAAAAAGCGCATGCCACCAAATATGAATCTAGTAATATTGTGGCAGAAAAAAACGAATAATCTATCTTATTTCCTAGGTAAAATGTTTTCACATGTTACAAGCGTATTCAAAAAAAGTAAAACTACTAAATCGAAAAAAACTGACAATGAATCAGGTAAAATAGAACAATAAAAATTTACTTAGTTTTGAAAATGTGAATGATGATAAGGCTATTTTTCGACACCAATTATTTTTGCATAAAAAGCCACTTAGACGTACCAAATCAACCATGAAAAATATTTTGTACGATTTAGTTTTTCGAAATTTATCTAAACAATTTTTTTCAATTCTATATCCACACTTCTCTCAAGAATTGGTTAACAACTTTTTCTCTTTGCTTTTTGCAATAAATGCACACTTGTTGCAGAATTTTATTTTAATTACGAATATCACTTTCATATTTCAGAATTCTGAAAATTTCCGAGTGTGAAATAGTCAAAAATACATTTTTATACACAAAAAATAGACAATATATTCAATGCATATAAAATAACGATCCTAAAAGCTCAAGTTCAGTCTTTTTGGAGGTCGGAGCTAAAAAGCTATTCAGAAATAACTGATATCTTATCAATGAACACCTTTTTAGCTTGATACCAATATTATTGTGTATAAAAACTAAATGCCTTTCGGAATACAAGCTTCACAGTAAAAATTAAGTTACTCAGACAAAAAATTCATAATCAGCATGATATTTTTCATCGAATGACAGGCGCATTGTAATAAACAAAGATAAAAAGTTCCCAAGCAACTCTTGAGACAAATGTGAGTGTGGAATTATTTGAACGAATTTCTCAAAACTGAATCGTACAAAATGTACTATGTGGTTGACTTGCTACATCTAGATGGTTTACATGCAAAAATAATGGCGTAACAAAAAATGGCCTTATCGTCACTTATCGTTTCTGTTTATTATAGTTGAATTGGACATCAATGATTTATTTTTCATAAATAATACCGTTCCACTTTCCCATGAACCTATCAAAGTTGCTTGGATGTTTAAGAGTGACGGTAGTTAAAAAACGAAAAAAAATCCGTAATTATTTATTGAATTTTCAAATTTTGTAGATGATCATGAGAAACTTTCATATGAATTAACAAATGATATTAAACGTTTAGAAGCAGAATTAGATCCTTGGATTAAATTAAGTTTTGAACCTATTGCTATGGAACATCAAATGCGTGCTGAAGCTTTTATAACTTGTTGTCATCCAATGGAAACAGTAGATGGAGATAAACTTAAAAGATATGTTAATAGTTATGGTGCATTAAAAGAACAAGAGAAAATCATTGAAGAATGTTTGAAAGAATTGTCAGAAGTTGATCTACGTAACTGTAAATTTGATATGAACAAGTTGAATGAATCTCGTCAAAGTATTATCGAGTGAGTAAATCTACTTCAGTGTACAAATTTTTAATATTACAGTTATCTGTACTAGTAAACAGATAGTAATCGATTGAATTGAATTCCAATATGAATTTCTTTTTTTTTATCTTTATTAGCTTTGCTAATGGGATTGCTGATAAATCCATATTAACATTGATAGATACTGCAATTCAAAGACATATTTATATAGATAACATTGTTTATAATTATCATTTAAGCACACCCAAAGAATGTCATCCAGCACTTCGTCTACTTTGGAAACCATATAGATTACTGCAATGTGAAATATCTTATCGTACAACTTTAGCTACAAAATTATTAAGTCTTAAGAATTACAAAAAATTTAGTAATGAAATAAGTAAACCATTCCGACAACTGATGTCTAATATATATGTTAATTTGAAAGTAAGAGAACATGTTGACTAATGAGTTTTTATTCTTATAAATTTCTATGTAATACATTGTAATCATTCTTCTTCAATAAAGATCACGAAAATTTTTCATGAAGATGTTTCATTTTATTGATTGTCAGCTTCTAAGTGTCTTTTTTTACTTTTAACTATTATCTTTTTTTCAATAATTTTTGAGACAAACAACATAGAGATCTGGACATTTTCACTATTCGACAGAGAAGATCCTGAGCTCTCCTCTATGTGTGTCGAAATCTGATTGGCCAATGTTTTGACTTAGTATATGACCAATTAATAGAAAATTTGCTTTTTTTTCGATTTAGACAAGTCCGAACTTTCTAGTATGTTCCGTTCGACAGCTACAAAGGTTTTTCTGAGACCCCTGATATCATCTAATTCACCTTGAAAGACTTAACATAAGTCCAAGCTAAGATTAACGTCTTATGCTAAGTCGAATGGTAATGTTTATTTTGAAAGAAACTAATACTTATACTAACTCGATCAGATTTTTAATTTTTTTTAGTATCACATTAGGGAAAGTCCTTGATAATCAAATGTTACACATGTTGTTCCTTGACGCAATTTGATCGAATTATATATCAATCGATAAGTTGTGGAAAATACTTAAAAAACTGATATAATAACCATTTATCAATAATGTAAAAATACGCAAGTTCTTTTTGAAATATTGCTGAATACTATTAAAGTAATGTGCCAGCATCGAGTATAAATCATACTCGACATATATATATAGAATTAATTCCATGATTTTTGTCGTAATAATCATCTCTTTGATTAAAACAAATAGAGTATTCGGAATCTGTATAAAAAAATGGCGTCGATCCATACATATTTTAAACTTGTTGGACAACTGTTATATGTACATTCATTGAATATCGGCCTGAAAATGACTTTTGTGTCTGTTCAAACAAAACTCTCTTGACTTCACCCATGTTCGCAGCATTTTCTCTTACCAAATTATGCATGAATTTCTAGCCTGTAAGGAAAGTTCTATCACTCAGTATAAAATTCAGAACGAGTAAACTCTAATTCTATGCATAGAATGGTTTATACTTCATGTTGAACTTTACTTTGATGATATTCAGCAAATAATTCATTAAGAACTTGTTTTTTTTTACATTGTTAATAAATAATTTTTGTATCAGTTTTTTTCACGATCTATCGTTCAATGTATAATTCGATTAGTTTGTATTACGTAACAAATAAACACATCAAAGATTTCCTTATGATGTAATACCAAAAAAATTGATAAAGTAATCGAGCTCTAAGTCTGTAAACAATTAATAAAATCAGCTTAAAAAGTATAAGCTTGCCAGCCCTCTTGAATGAAACATGCATGAAAGTTGGGACCTACACAAATCGAAAAAAAAAGAACGTTTTCAATCGTTTGGTCATATGCCACTTCAAAACATTGGCAAATCAGATTTCTATGTTGTTCTTCGAAGTTTTTGAAAAACCAGTTAGGACTATTGATGTTTGAAAAAAGACAATAGCTACAAATCTAATACACATTTTAATATGAAAGATTTTTCGAATATGTTTTTGTTCGTGTCGGAATAGAAATAAATTTTAATGAATAACTTTATTTTAGGTTGCTTTGGATAAAATCAAACAAAGTATTGCTGCAAAGGGTAAACCAGTAGCAAACGAACAGATCGACTTGGATGTAAAGTTCATTACAGAAACATTAATAGATTATAAAGTTCTTTTTAATGATCCTATGATTTTACATCATGAAAAACGTGCATATGCTTATAAAGTTTGTTGTGAAAAATTGGAAACAGATGATCTAATTGATGAATATATAATAAATTTTAATCGTGATCTTAATAAAATGGAAAAACTCTTACGTAGCTGGTACGTTACGTTTTCGTTCTTTTTATATTAATTTAAAGATTGATTAATTTCTTCTTCTTCTTCTTCAGTCTTCACAAACAAAGTTTATCTGATATAACAAATGATACTTTATACGGTGGCGATTGTCAAAGAGCTTATAATCAATTGACAGAAGTCATGAGTGAACGACAAAAGTAAAATAAAAAAAATTTTTGTTTTTCAAAATTATCTTTTATATTTGTTAACTATTCAAGTTCTATTAATAAATATAAAGAACAAGGTGAAGATATAGCTGAACATTATAGAAAAGCAATTGCTCCAAAATTAAGTCAAACATCAATAATAAAATCTATGAATACTTTTGTAAAACAATATTGTTCAGAACAACATATATTCGAATTAATGTTTAATCCAGAAAATGTGATTAAATGTGAAAAAATTATTCGTAAAATTATTGGAGAAAATGGTTCTACAATATATAATGTTTATCATACAAATATTAGTACTCCATTTCGTCAAATGATTCTTAATGATTGGCAACAACTTGAAAAAGCTCAAGCCAATAGTCCACCGATATCAGAAAGAATATTACTAGCTCAATTGAATAGTCAATCGGTAATATTAAATAAGTTTTATAAAATGAAAAAAAAATATTTTATTAAAGGCTCCAACTATGGTTAATAATGCCAGGGGTCATAAAAATTTTACGCACAGGTATATAAATTTTTTATTTATTCAATTTACTACGTATACCATCAAAGTTGCAATAAGAGTTAGAATATCGAGAAACATGCACACATTCTTATCTTGATTTTTAATTATACAATATGTTTTACATTCTGTGGATGTTCGTGTGTATTCATTTTGTTATTGTTGATGAACAATATTATTTAAAACTATTGTTAGCTTGATTATAAAAATGTTGTATTTTTCTATTTTAGCCGTCGAAGAAGTTCAAGAAAAAATACTGCTTCACTAATGATGACATTAATTCATCAAAATTTTACTATATTTTTTATGATTAGTATTCATATAATTTTCTTTTAACATTCTTTTTGAGTTAATAAACAAAAAAAAACTTATTTTTCGATTGTTATTTCAAATAAATATTCGATTTTTATTTTGAAAATTTTTTAATCATCATCATCATCATCATCATCAATTTATTTTAACCTGAGGGAAAAAAAAACGAAAAACAAAATGATAATAAATAATAGACATATACTGTTCTGAGCGAAGGAGAAAGAAGAAGAAGAAGAAGAAGAAGAAGAATATCTGCAAATAAAGAAGCTAATTGGATTAATAACATTTTTAAATTCATATCTATGTATATATATATTCTTCTTTAAATTTATGTACGTGGTCGTCTAGTATGCGCAGTAGTACTTGTCGAAATGGTTCGATTATGTTTTAATATTAAATCTTGGCTACGATCAGCATTTGTTCGCATAGCTAAAATAGATGCAAAAGAAAAAGAAGAGAATAATCATTTATCATACACATATTAAATAGAAAAATCTTCATTTACCATATTGACATCGTGGACCAGACCATCCTGCTGAACAATAACATTGTATACCTTTTCCATATCCATTTTGTTGACATGTACCACGATTATTACAAAGACTGGAAGAACATGCAGGATTTAATGTTGTTACTGTTGGCGTAACAGCAGAGTTTGTTCCTAGAAAATTCAATAATACTTATTTGATATTTGAATTTTAAAATCGTATGTATAGATATACCATCACAGAATGGTCGTTGATTTTGACAACGTGAACCACAATATGGAAAAGGACATGAACAAATATAATCACCAATTGGACGTTGTATACATTCACCACCATTTATACATTCTTCTCCGCTATCTATACAACTGATTACTAAAAAACAAGAAAAGATATATAGATTTAAATGAGAATATTTTGTTTTTTTATCAATTACATTTTTCACATCGATCTCCTGAATAACCAGGCGGACAGAAACAACGAAAACCTTGAGGAGCAGATGGATCATTTTGACATGTACCACAAATACATGGATTTTTTACACCACAAATATCAACTTAAATAATAAAAAAAAAGAAACAATGAAATATCATGCGATGAACTTTAAATCAATAGACCTTGATCACAATTTTGTCCTTCAAATCCCGTTGGACATTGACATGTATATGCACCACCACCTGAACTTACACAAACACCATTATTTTTACATGGTTGACTAACACAACCATCTTGATCTTCACATCGTTGGCCACTAAATCCTGGTGGACATTGACAAGTAAATCCACCAAATCCATTTGGTATACATGTACCTCCATTCAAACAAGGATTTGGATTGCAAGCATCTCCTAAAATAATACATCATTCTTTTTAATTAAAATTTTTCTTAATATTTTTTTTTGTCTCCTAAATTTTAAAATAATCATCTAATTTACTTACTTGTTTCACA